TGTAAAATAAAGCACACAGAAACATGCACACTGCATGGTCACTGCTTAGTAGTGTTAAAATTCTAGCACTTCAAATGCAAAAGAAATTTGCAGGAATTCATGCTCCTTACCAATGCAACATATATATACCCTTCCTATGTTGAGAAAGCCATGCCTGCGGTTACACTGAAAAGAACACTTTGCTGCTGTAGTTTTGCTGCTTTGTTTTCAGGTAGCAATTCTTTTTAGTTAGGCCATGGGTTTTTAGGCATTAAAAAAATACTCTTAATTGTGCAAAGAAACTTTTAGCCATGAATTTCAGGGCTATTTCTCTTATTTGCTTTCTAAGATGTTACAAATGTGCTTGATCAAAACTTCTCTTAGTCATTTCTTTAAGCTCCCAAAATAAATATGGACGTGATGGTCTAAATTGTGCAATGAGAAGATCCATGACTTTCCTGGTGTCCCTGGTGCGAATCTACACAGTGTTTGCTACCATGGCTATGGGAATCAAAGCATCATTTGAGAAGGACCAGGTTCCTGAGGTTCAAGAGAATGTAGTGTTACAAAATGTAAATGGGTGCTGGGAAAGATAATGTACATCATGTGTTGTACAAGTAATAGAATCCAAACTACATGAAAACTCCAGATACAGTGGGATACTTAAGAGTTCAGTTTACGGGAATTCAGTGGACAGCGAGACAACAGAATAGGCACACAGTGGCAGTTCATGGCACAGGGATGTTGGGATATGAAGGGCTGGTTGGGAATCCTACTGGATAATTAAGTATTGTTGCCCATTTATCAAGTCTGCTGTTAAAACAAAAATGCCACCAGTTAATCTATAAGCTATCGATGACTACAAGGTAAAAAAAAAGTCAAGTAAAAGTTCTACAACAAAAAGAAAATAAAGGTAACTGGACTAAAGGAATGAATATTTCTCCCAAATCCCATCTTTTCCTTCTGGTAGTTGGTGGTCAATGTTTCACAGCTTGCATCTGGAAACAAATGTTGCTTTATTTAATAACTACACTTTCAGCCCATGGGCAACAGTCAGAGCACTGACAAAGAGCACTTCCAATAGGAAACGCTTTATACCAGCTCACCAGACAAGAATTTCAAACATGATTATTGTCTAATTATGCTGCCACACAAATATTGCTACACATAATGTGGAAAAAAACAAACAAACTTACCTTTGCTGACCTCTGGCTTTAGGAAGGATATATTGGGATAAACACCGTAGAAGGTCTCTGATTTTTTTAATGATTTATTTTTTTGTGTTTGCACATTTATAGAATCAGCATCCAATGCTCAATGTGATCAAGAGTCTCCAAGATTTTTTAGCTAGTTACAAATGCAGGAAACTCTCATTGCCTAAGAAGTCAAACAAGAAAGTCAAGCAAACCAAGAGGGCATCTTCCACTTGGCTACTCAGTGAAAAACTCCCAATCTCTCACACCTCTGGCAAGAAGCCTGTGTGTTGCTCTCCAAAGAAAGTGCAGACCTTTTGATTTATTTAATGCTCAGTTGTTCTGAGAAGCTTTAAGATTGTTCCCATGTGACACTTAAGAAAGACAAGAGATTTGAAATGGATTAGGATTACTAGAGGGGATTATGAATAGAAAAATCTAGCATGCTGGCCTCACACTCATTTTAACAGACAAACCAGCTCTTGCATGCATGCCAGCTGTCCTTGGTTACATGCAATTTCCTCAGAAGAATGTTCCCACTGATTTGGATCTTTGGATAGAAAGGTCTCTTATACATTTGACTTGGGTGGGAAGGGAGAGAAAGGGAGAGGCGCACCTCTGTCGTACAGATATAGAAAGCTGCAGGGTGAGAGGATTTCATTAAATTGGCTGAATTAAAATGCAAGAGAAAGGTATGCTCCACACCAAGTACAGGTACAGCTGAGAAGATATTATCTACCCTTCCCTTGGTTCAAAATCATACAGAAGCTATTTGCAGAGGTCCCTCCGCACAAAGAATACAGCTTTATTCACTGGAATAGTGGTAATTTCCTCATTTGATTGGGGAAAGATGTGATCCTTATAGAATATAATACTTATAAGCTAAAATGAATCCCGACTGATTTATGTTTGCACCCTACCTAAATCCTGGATTCATAAACAAGCTACTTCCTCCATCCCTACACGTGGCAAGTGTACAGAATTCATTTTCCATGTAGATGCAGACATCCTAACTGATTTTTCCTTGTGGCGATCCCACGCTTAGGAAAAGTAATGAAAACTCTTCCTGAAGAAGCTCTTAAGTCACACCACACAAGCAGCAGAAAACTTCGGTGGTTCTGGGTCTCACCCCTCTATAGAAAAAGGGAAACCAAATCTTAATTAAAGTGTTTCTGCACAAACCATTTATAGCAGTTAGTCTGTAGATGGAGAACCATGGGGAGGTTTAATTCATTATTATTCAATGTTAAAAGACTGGTATTGGATGTTTATAGAAGCATTTGCAACTTGTACTAGTTACCTATAAATTATAGCATGAAAGATAAATGATCCAAAAACTCATAGCAGTTGTATTCTACTTTGTCACCCAGTCACCATTTAAAAAAAAAAAGGTTTCAGCCATTCAGGGTGGGCCCACACAATGTGGTATAGGTGGTGCTGGGTGGCAGGTAGCCAGGGCCCCCCACTCCCACAGACGCCCCACCGCCAGACTCCACATCCCCCAAACCACTGCACAAGCCCCATACCCCTCTTCAAACCTCACTCCCAAGCCCTATAAACCCACCTATAATGCCCCCCAACCTCCCCCACAAACCCCACCCCACATCGCCCCCACAAATCACATCCTGTGTGCCCAACCACCGAACAGGATGGGACAAGACCTTTTGGTGGAGGCTGTGGCTGCAGGGGCAACTACCACACTGCAGCCCTGACCCATGCCCACACCACCGTTGGGATATGCGGGTCGGGGGCTCCTGCTCCCAGGAACCACTTGGGAGGTATGATGAGCTGGAGGTAGCAGCAGGGTGTGTATGTGAGTGTGAGAGTGAGAGAGAGATGGGGGTTGGGAGTAGGGGAGCGCTCTGGAGAGGAGAGGCCTCCAGAGCCAGGCTTAGAGCAGGCTTGTGGAGGGGGAGCTGGCCTGGAAAGAAAGGGCCCAGCTCAGTCTTTGAGCTCCAGCTGAAGGCTTCCCAGGCACAGCATGGGGCAGGGAGCAGAACAGCAAGGGCCAGCACTGCTCAGAGCTACAAAGCAGCAAGTGGGACAGCTGCAGCTGGACTCACGTCCTGGTTCTAGGACAGATCTGTGTCCAGGAGGGAGCTGGTGGTGGCAGACAGGGGCTGCAGGTCAGGAGTGAGGGGCACTCAGTGTGGGGCTGTGGGTTGAGAGTCCGGAGCAAGGGCAGGGGCAGCTCTGATTTTTCTATGACAAAAAACCAAAAGTAAATGCCAACGTATAAAGATATTTAGAATTTATTTTATTATGGTGAGGCACTGGTAGGCTTCCAAAATGCTTTAAAATTGTAAACAATATCAATAAAGCATTGCTCAACTAATTTCTCTCTATATAGCAGCGTTTCATTTTAATAGTGGAAGAACACGGATTTTAGGTATTTTAATGAGAGAATTTGGGTTTCTTATTAGAGAATTTGCAGTTTTTAAACAGGGAATACCAGGATCTCTGCTGGTGGGGCAAGTGGAAAGACCCAGGCAGAAGAACCTGCCTAGGGTCAGCACTGGGGACTCAGCTGGAGGGCAGTTGAGGTGGCTGACCTCTTGGCCATTTGCAGCCAAGAGGACAGGCTTTGATAGTTCAAAGCAGGCCACTGCAATAAGCATATCTTCTAGGCAATAGCTGCCCAGATGGCAGAGCAGGGACACAAGAAGACATGACAGCAGTTCCTCTTGAAGGCAAACTGTGCAGCCACAGCCCACTGGCAGTGGGCCCAGAGGTGCAGAAGGCTCTGCTGCAGTGGCACATACCACAGCCCAGGCACATGTGCAGTGCTTGTCCAGGTCTGGCAGGAGCACAGACATGGAGCCACAGGTCCAAGAGTGGGGATGCTGTTTCAGGTGGCAACAGGTCACAGCCAGGCAGCAGCTCCCACTTCCAGACTGCTACATTGGGTAGAGGGTGCAGGGGCCACTCTAGGTTAGGGCTGCTTCAGCAGTCCAGCTGGCACAAGGGGTAGTGTCTCCAGATACCAAGTAGCTGGACTTTAGAAGCTCCTGTCTATTTGTATCTTCCAGAGATCGTGGGCCTTAAGGCCCACCTAGTTAACTAATAGCCCCCACTGCATGGGGCCAAAGTTTGAAAGATACAACTGATATATATATATATTTTTAGGGGCGGATAACTAAGGAAGAAAAGGGTAGGAGTGATGTGGGGGTCACCTCAGAAGCTCCTGGGAGCAAGTAGCTCTGAGCTGCTCACCAGGACAGGTTTTTATACTGCTGGGGCCAGCACAGGTGCTAGACCCAGCCTCTAGCTGTCCCTGGCTGAAGATCCAGGAGGAACTGGGCAGGGTCAGTTTGCCCCAAGTGGCACAAATTGTTCCACACCAAAGTGCATATTCAGGTACCTGTGCTGAGGCAGAAGTCTCTGGCACAAATTTGTGCTGCTGCTATTTGAGCTGCTGGAAGCACATGTGCATGCATGTGTGGACGTGCCCAGGAGAACCAGAATCTGAGGGAAAACACAGGCAGGCACCTGCACTGAGGATTCAAGCATCCCTGTGGGTTGCAGAATCCTTCTCTACAGGGTCTTTAAATAAAGGAGGCTGTGGGAGTGTTTGACGAAGAATCATGGAGGTCTATTCACTAACCTAACATAGTTCCATAGACAAACAACAGCTTCCAGGACAGATGAAACACCGATGCTGCAGAAATAAATGCAGGGTTCTTGCCGTTCTTCCAAACCCTCTATGGACATTGCAGCACTCAGCATATTTCAGTTAGGGTGGATGCTAAAAAGAGGATCCAATCTTAATGCTTGTACTATGGTTTTGGATCACAGACAATGTGAACATGAGAAAACAACAACAATATACATGATTCACAGAACCTGCTACATATTTTTATTTTAAATTTTCAGGGCTATTAAGCTAAGCAAAAGTGGAGGCTTTTATTACTGAATTTGTTGATATATTTCTTTAAATTGCATGCTTCTTTGCAGAAATGGTAAAAAATAGCTCTCAATTTTAAACAAGTACTAAAAAAACCTGACACAATCAAAAATATATTAAAACCTTAATTCCAGATGATTAACAAAATAAGAATCTTAGAGTCCTATAAAGAATGAACAAGTCAGTTTTACCTCCACTGTTCATGTAATTATTTTATACAGTGCATTACATTTCTTTATTTTAAAACTAAAAACTGGTCTTGAATAACATCAGGTTTTCCTCTTTTTTGTCTGTTAAAAAGAAGAGCAAGAAATAAATTAGCTGGATATATATGGAAGAACAAATAGAGCAAACATTTTAAAATTACCAACAGGATAGTGTAAGACCTTGACTCCATGCGATGTCTAACGACTGGATAGCAACAGGCCAGCACATGCACTGGCTTCACAAAGCAGCTTTATTGTGAGACAGCACTCAGGATACCTGTAATCTGGGTGACCCAGAGTATCTTTTCTAAAAGTCTTTTATTAAACTTAAGTTACATAGACCCCCAATCAAGAAAAACTAATCTTCAGAGAGAAAGGAAATAAAGTAGTTTACAGGCCAGGTTTTGCTGCCAGGGAAAGGCAAAGGTCAAACTGACTTTTTTGAAAGAAGGAACACCCATATATCAATAAAATCAGTGACATCTGCGAAGTTTGCAGAACTCAATTGCTCCTTGGAGAATGAGGTTGGGTTTTTATTTAGAACCAGCAGATGCAGCGTTGGTCACAATTCTAAAAATTTTGAGAGTTCATGTACTTCAATTTTTTCTGGAAGCCCTAAATGCATAAACCAAGGGAAGGATGCTGTTCAATTGGCCCTAAGGGGCGAGAGGCTTCTACAATGGGAAGGTCTGCATCAAGGTTGAAAATGTAAGCAAGGTCAATGGATTTATGTAGGCTGAGTACAGCTCCTGTTATAATGAACATGGGCTGAGGGAAAGTTTAATGTCTCTGTGGCCTGCAATTCACTTCACCACTGTGCAGTTACATTACTTACGATTTCACAAAATCTGATGTCACCTCCCGTCAGCCTGACAGGAAGCACAACCAGCACCACTTTAACTCTTATGCGGCACTTTTTCTCAGTACTTCTCAAGGGGCTTTACAAAGGAAGCTGGTATTTACCCCATTTTACAGGTGGGGAAAATTAAGAAGCAGAAAGTAACTAGCTCAGAATCACACAGGAAGCCAAAGACAGAGCCAGGAACAGAAACCAGATCTCCTGAGTCCCCTCCCAGTGCTCTTGCCCACTAGACCAGTGGTTCTCAACTTTTATTGTACCAGGATCTGCTTATAAACATTCATGCACACTCCCAACCAGGTAAAAAGTGTAAGTAGAAAACAGCCCCGGCTCTGCCATCCCTGGATTTGTGCACCCATAGCGGGCACGGGGTTGTAGCCTAGCCAGATTGGCACAGGCAGGAGCTGCCTCTGCGACCCAGCAGGAGGGACCTAACATGGGAGGGTGGAGCAGGGTGGCAAGACTCATTGCTGCTGCTGCCACCCGGACCCACTTGCCACCTGCATCAGCAGCAGCACAAGGAGTAACAAATGGGGGGTAGAGGGGGCTGTGCTGCCCTCACCTCCTCCTGCCTCCAGCCAGTCATGTACTGAGCCACAGCTCTACTCTGCTGCCATAGCTCTCATGCTGACACCATTCACTGCCAACCCACCTCCCCTCCTGGGTTGAGTCATGGCCTGAGGGGAGTGGCAGTAGAAGCTGGGCCACGGCAGTGGGGTAGAGGTGCAGCCCAATGCATGAGTGACTGGAGGCAGGAAGTGGTGAGGGCAGCATAGCCCCCTCCCTCCCCAGTCCATTACTCCTTGCACTGCTGGCAGCACAGCTGGCATGGGGGTCCTAATGGTGGCAGCTGCAGTAACAAGTCTTGCCTTCCCACTCTGCCCTCCCATGCTGGGTCCTGCCCCCTGGTCTGTGGCGGTGGCTTCTGCCCATGCCAGGCTGCCCAGATTGATACGCTGTTTATTAGTATGCACAGTGTTAACAAATGGGGAAGCACAAGCACCAAACATTTTTTTTAAAAATGTATGCAAACTATGATGTATTTTTAAAAGTTTGTTTGCAACCCTTTTATATATTCTTATGACCCACTTTTGGATTACAGCCCATGGATTGAGAAATGCTGCCTCTTCTACTTAAATACAAATAGTTGTTAGACACCTTTGTTTTACATACCGGCGTTCTGATCCAAGTTGTGTACTTGTCTGGGAATGCAGCACTCATGACTGTGGTATATATTGTGTAACTAGGGTGAAAGAGAAAACAGACAGCGTGGGCAAAATAGCATCTCAAGCCAAAAAAGAGGCTTTTGTGAGAACAGAAGAGTAAAGACTCAATCTTACGGGACTGGACCCAATGATCTTACGAGGTCCCTTTCAGCCCTAATGTCTATGAACTTACTACAAACATACCTCTTACATATATGAGCCAGAACAACAGAAAGTACAGCATATTGAAACATCAGGGAGAGAGCCTGATAAAACTTACACCTATGGGTGTACACTGGTCTAGCCCCACTGAATCTTGTCTATTCCAGCAAAGAATTTGCCCCTAAATGACACTGTTTATCTTAATCAAGGTAATGGAATATTAATATGGATCTCACTGGTGAAAAGGACAGAACTCAAGCATGGTAGGAATGGTGTAATCACATTTACAATTCATGGGTAAATAAACACAATTGTTATCTCTGAGAAACTAATTCCAAAGCTCTAAGTGTGACTGGATGATATTGTGGAGACACTAAGCTGAAAATAAAAATATAACATGATAAGGAGATCTGCAAAGATGCAGATTTTTTAAAATGCTGCAGAATGGCAATTAGTAAGAGAAGGCATTTTGTACTGGAGAGATAATAGCTCTGGCCCCCATTTACTATTTGTCTCTGGGAGTGAGACAAGTCATTTAGAAAAACTGGCTCATCTAATTATTAATGGCTTCACTGCTCTGGAAGTCTGGACTCCAAGCAGAGAAGATCTGAGACCAGCAACACAGGGTTTTATCATTCCTCAGTAAGCAGCAGACAGGGGACACAGGCACTTATGCAACTCCTGATGTAGAAAAGCATCATGCACATGAACAGTGTTTGACTGGGGAAGATTCTAATACAATAAAAGGCTTTGTCTGTCTGACTGTGTGTCTGTGTGTCTGTCTGTAATGATTTTGCCCAACTGTGCATGTGGTGATTGGCTGCGTGGGCTGGGCGGCCAGGGGCGAGGCCAGCTGAATTTAAATGGGAGCCCCTCCACCAGTGCTGCCTCCTCCTGTAGCTTGTGGTGCAGTGGCTCCCTGCACCCCACCTCTACAGAGGCAAAACAAAAAATCAGGTAGAGCATTTTAAAAGCGGTGGGGCCCAATGAGGAAAAGCAGGAGCCCCTCTGTCGTAGTGGAGTTGGACCTGAAGTGGGAAGGGGAGGAGGGGGAGCAGGTTAAGAACCAAAGCGGGGGGGAGGGGGCGGGATGGATCCGAAGCCGGGGATGGATCCAAAGGCGGGGATGGATCCA